ATAGAAATGTTTTCTGTGACGTTTTCGAAAGTTGACATGTCCACAGTAGCAAGATCTGTTTTAAAAGGTTCAACTGTGATCAGCATCACGATTTGAAATTATTGATTTAATGATTGATAATAGATTCAAGTGTCCTCATTGTCTTTGTATAGTGTTTCTCATCTGTTTGCAAACTGTTGATCAGTTTGTGTTCAAATGTATATTGTAGTTAGTGAATCTTACAGAGGCAAGAACTCTGAATGTTCCAATGCTCCCTGTACAAATACAACCCCATTGTCATTGAAGACTGAAGGGTAAAAGCATTGGCAAGCATCAGTTACAGATGCTCTTTCTGTCATGGAAAATGTGGTTCAGTTGCTGCCTGCAAACTATTTGCATGTCACCTGTGTAATTTGCATTTGGTATTGGACAGTGTTAGGCCTGTTCACTAGCTCCATTGAAATATTAATTCGAAGTTGTCTTGTAGCTTTCATTTACTTCCTAACAGTGTTCAAATATGGCAGTTATGTGACTGTTTAAACCATGTCTTTTGTCAGTAGTGTTGGAAGGTGCAGTGGTCAAAGGTGTGAAGTTTGTATAGAGTTGCCTCCCTTAGCCAGGACAGGATCTTCTCATGCTCATGGGTAAAGTGGTAAACATGTAGGGCTTCTTTCTCTGTGTGACTTGTTTAATTATATATGCCAGAAGATAACTTGAATGCTGTTGAATCCAACTTGCACTGAGAAATACAGTATCTGACAGATTACAATAAAGAAGTGCTGTGGTAGTATCGGTGGAAATTTGTAGCAAATTTCTGATGTCAAGTGATTATTCATTGCTCACACACGTTTCTAAACAGTTGGACATAAATGGATCCTAGATGTTGAAACTTTGGCTCATTGGCCAAGAAATGTAAGATTTATGGATGTCAACTTCTTTATTGTGAATATCAGAACGTTTCCGAGTGTATGCTTGCTGATTCAACAGGTGAATGATGAATGGGCAAGCATACACTCCGAAACGCCACTTCATTGGCCAAGGTTCGACTCCATATTGGTACAATTTGGAAACCCAACTGTGTTTCCTGGAATATGTCTAAAGTGCTGCCCAAATTGCCAGATCATCATTAATGCATAAAGTAACATTTGTCTGCAAAGTTGATTTATTTTGTTTTGAACCATGCAAAGTTGTCAGCTTTGGACATTTTGCTTGTTTGTTATTCCATACAAGGAATGGGTCTGGTAGACCTGCCCATGAGGTGTGATTTCAGTGTTGTGGATGATGTATATGTGTAGGCCTGACCTTCTGTTGTGTGGAATAACAAAATTCTGTCGATGTTGGTTGATCTTCTTGTGGATATTTCAGCCTGTGAATGATTGCTGCTTTTGAAGTTTTCTTCCATCAGATCATAATAGCACGTTTTCATACAGCCTTAATGTTTTATATATTATGAGGATGAATTCTGAGCAAAACATTTTATGGCACTGTTTGAGTTCATGAATTTATTATCTGCTTTCATAAATTTTGTTCTTGATTCTTATCATGTTAAAATTTAAAATTGACTTCTCACAGAGGGTAATTACAACATGGTCAAGGTTTCAGGGACCAGGTTTGGAGGTAACTGTTGAGAACCAAAATGAATCCTTAAGTTTTGTTTCAACTTACCATTTTATATTGTATACAATTGGGACAGTTGCACTGAGCCATCAAATAGGAACATCTTTACAATGCTTTCATAATAGTGTCTTGGAGAGGTGAATTCATCATGTCAATATATTTCATTTCTTATCAATGACGAGGTGGTGATTTCTGTGTTTCCAACAAAAGATTTCAGATGTTTGTTTTGACCAAATTTAAAGAAACCAAATCATTATTTTATACTTTGTTTCATTAAAATTAGAATATATTGTAGGATGAATGTGAGAATCAAATTTCGAACAATTCCAAAGAAATATTGTCCAGTTTTGTAAAAAAATAAATAAAATAAATTCAATTTTCACATGGAAAGTGTGCTTTTTTACCATTTACCTGAGTGGCATAGTATGAGTGTGTCTCCATGATGGTGTTTTAGTGTTTTGGTTCTACAAGTACAAGTTGTGTTTCATGAAGCTGGCTTAAGAGGTGCTCCTTATCTCCAGAGTTAGTGCCAGACTTAGCTTTGTATAGGTTTGTACAGTGAGGCACGTATCCCTGCTCATATACTGAACAGGCATGAAGTTAACAGTACCACAGGAGGACGAAAAGAGATGTTAAATTGATTTATAGTACTACAAGAGGATAAAGAGGGATTAACTCAAACATAGCTCACATGAAGTTCAAGAACACCCATTTGTCTAATCTTACAAAAGTTAAACTGACTCGTGAATAAGGATTAGGCAATAGGAAATAAATAGATAGGAAAACATTGAATGGTCCTTAACTTTTTTGACAAGACATTTAGGATATAAGAAAGAGGGATAGGGAGATCCAGAGGGGATGTTCATCTCCTTTGTCCTGAAAGTTTATTAAATGACCATTGAAACTCTTGTGAAAAGGGAAGAAAATGAACTGTGCAAACCCAACCCCTTCCCTTCTCAAAAAGCGCCTGAGTGGAATTGTCCAGCAGTGTAGACATGTTAAAGTGATTCATCACAAGGATGATTCAGATTCCCACCTGTGATGAGGCGTTTGTTCAAGTGACAGCATCTTTGAAGATGACATTTAACTTCATCACTGAGGCATCTCATTACCTGCATCAGTAAGGAGGAGGTACCTTTATGTCAATGCTTGCTTTTTGTATGTTGATAAAGAATCGAGTTCAATATTACCAATACAGTTTTCTGTTGAATATGCTGAATAATTATACTCGACTAACAGTACTAATAACGGAAGCTGCTGTTTTTGCTGACTTGTATAATTGTGCACTGTATATAATACTTGAAGTATTATAATCTATTAGCTCAGGTGAGCTTAATTGAAACCCTTTTAGTCCGGATGATACGGTTTACCAGAGAAGTTGTCCATGTTAACTTGTTTTAAGGTTGACGAATTATTGTTCCTTGAAACTTTTTGTGAATATTCCTTCGTCCGGAGTACAGGGTTTCTGGATTTTAGAGGTTCTTTTATAACCAGGATTCACTGTATATCTGATGATTATCATTCTAACACTGATACTAATAAATAACCAGGCTTGTAGGAAATTAGGCTGAAAATGGGTGATTTTATTGCATCATTAATGTGTTGAAATTTATGAGAAATTTAAAACAAAACTTGAAATTGAAACAAACTTAAGTTCATGCCTAAAATGTATGTGGATGAAAACAATGTTGGCAATGAAAACTGTTTGTGAGTAATTTGGAATTAGAATTACAAATGATGTCATTTTAGTATGAATGTACCATGCTGCTGGTGAAATGTTTAGGAATATGATGGAAATCTCTCATAGATCATCTTTTACCGGAGTTCAACACTGCTGAAGTACATCACGTTTGTTGACAGTAAAAGTATATTATATATGCCCTGGGTTCTGCTTGTATCGCAGTTCAATGGTAGCCTCTGTGATGTGCCAATGTTAGGGGCTGACCATATAGCTTCCCAGGGTGTTTGGGGTGTTTGGCGGACTTCATCAAACAGATATTTTGTAGGAAACAAAATTTAACAATAAATGTGCAGTGTATGGTTTTCTAAAAAAAAAATCATTTATTTTTGAAAGCATCATCTTTGGACCCATAGAACCCACTCTCGTCTCCTCTCTCTCTCTCTCTTTCCCCCACCCCCCTAATCTGCGGACAGCAAACGGTCAGCCCCTATTTATCCCCAGTGTATAGTCAGGAGTGATTAACTTCATACCCGTCATACTTACTGCAGTGTTATCATAGCTTGTGTCATGTCATATACGCTGACTCGGGAATAATTCTGTATTAGGGACCTTCGGATTTAGATATCACCTTATGTATGCTCTTCAAAAAAAGTAGGGGAACCTGAACTTTCAATTTGGATCGGAAGTATAACAGTTAACAAACTTTTCAAAGACAGACATTTTATGAACGCACCACCATTTCTCTTTATCACCACCCCTAAACACAACGCATGGAATACAACTGTATGACGCAGTAGCCTCATACACATGCATGGGGTGTCATTCTTGATTTTGACGGTTTTCAAGAAGGTCAATAAATTACTGTAGACCATTAATTTTGACAATCATCTTGCATCACACAGTTATTTGTGTTTGTTTCTAGCCAGTTGTTTTTTTTGGTTTGAAAATGAAAATCGTACACATGCAAATTTCACGTCATACAACAATCATCTTTCAAGTTCACGTCATACACGTCCATCATCTTCCAAGGGTGGTTACTGTACCAACAACTATGGTTATAGGAAGTACATGTGGTGATGCATTCTCAAAACATTCATTATTATCATATCAACATTGATTGATTCCAATATATCTCTCAATTTTTTCAATAATAAATTAAAAATGAAGTTCCCTACTTTTTTTAAACAGTATATTCTACTAGCCGCTAGTGTATAAAGGTAACAAGGATATGTACACGCAGGGTGTATTGGCCTTAGTCATTCATTGCTGTGTTGCAGGGTGTTTTCCTGTTGTCCTCCAGCATATAGGAGGCCATATTTTTATATTTTGTGCGTTTATATGATAATTCTCACTGTAGCTGTCATTCTGATATATACATGCTTACATCATTTGGCTCCTACGTAGATCATTTTAGTGTGTGTGTATCAGAGGTTTATCTGTACAATAAATTGTATACATACTTCATTTCGGAGTTGGTATGTTTTAGTGATTTGTAGTTGTATGGGTGATAGCGTTAGATGGAGCGAGTGATTGAGACTGAGTATGGGACATCTCGTTTCATGTCTTGTCCCCTGCAAATTGTGGGCAGACAATAATTTACCGTTATAACGAACTCAATACAGGTGTACTTAGTTTGTTTTAATCATTCATTATTTTTCATTGAAAAGAAGCCCCAGTGAGAATGGAGATGCAGACTAGACTTGCTTCAATTACGGCTTTACCACTGAAGAAAAGGCCAGACAAGTGAAAATAATGCGGTTCAGGGACTGTGAGACAGACTAAGGGACCCCTGAACAGGTCATCATATCCATCAGTTCGTTATAAATGTAGTTTAGTGTATGTATAACAATGGGGAGGTTGCGGTAATGTTGGAGTGAATGAGTATGGGGTCACGCCGCTTTTAGCAATATTCCAGCAATATCATGGCGTGGGACACCAGAAATGGGCTTCACACATTGTACCCATGTGGGGAATCGAACCTGATCCTTCAGCGTGATGAACGAACATTTTAATTACTAGTTTATGTCCTGTAACTCCGGCATCTAAGGATTTGGATGGTTAATATATGGAATAACCAACTCACACTTTTTCTTTTGGTTTAGAGCCAACTAGTACAGATGGTTAACTTTTAACCAGTTTATTACATTCAGTGAGGAGGTAATTGTGCTGTACGGTTTGCTGGGTAACCCTTGGTTACATGCCAACTCATTGTCAGTCCGTTATTGGCTCTGAGCAGAACATTATAGATTTGTGATTGGACTGGACTCCACATTCACAGCGGTGGTTCTTGCCTTCAGACAGATGATAAGATGTTTGTCCGATTGGAATACACTTGATGCCTTCCACAGGATCGTGGAATTCACATTCTGCAAATACAATTGAGTTAAATTAAGACAGATAGCATGTTAGTTCTTGAAGGAATGAGTAAATGTTAATCCCTTGTTATTCTACCACCCAAATCCTATACATCCTTCTGCAACTATTACCCACTATGCTTTCCACTCGTTTTTTTATGCTTTTCTTACTCCTTTCATGTAATTGCTCTGATGAATTTCTTCTCACATTCTCTTCTCAGCCATCTGATTACTTCTTTCCCATATCCTGCTCAACTATCATGAATTTCTTTCCCATTCTTCAACTATCTGATGAATTTCTTTCTTCCTTCTCCACAACTGACAACTATCTTTCTCCCAAAGTATGTGACTTTCTCCTGTTTTCCACATAGCTATCTGATGACTTTCTTTTCACCGGTATGACTCTGTCACTTCCTGGCTCCTCTCTTTTTCCTTTCTACAAAACATGTCACCTTCTTCCACCAACCATCAATTCTGAAGCAATGTTATTGTAGACAACAGAAGCACTGGACCTACCCACAGCAGGAACTGAACATTCCGGCTATAACTATCAAGTCAGCTGCTATGTTACTGCAGGTAACAGAAGCAGTAATTATCAACGTACCAGTAGTGAATGTCAGGTCGGGATTACAGGTGATGCAGTCATGTGTTACTCCCACATCCAGACATGAACCATCATGGTTCAACATGCAGCCTGCAACACACTATACACAGTAAGACAGTAGTATACAATCTACAGATGTAAACTAGAAAACTTGGACTGGTTGGCTCAGGATCCATACATCCAAAAACATGCACAAAACAGAAAATACACAACCTGTAAGACAACATACATCCTACAGCACACCTCGGTCAACACCCGTCCTATAACATACACCCAACAGCATGCAATCTTGAATACACAACATACAGTGCACACCCTTCAGCACACGACACTCATCCTACAGCACTCACTCTATAACACACGACACACATCCGACAACATACACTCGTCAACACATGCCACACATCCTACAGCATACACTCAATAACACACTCTACACACATCCTACAACATACACTCGTGGAACACACGGCACACATCCTACAACATACACTCGTGAACACGACACACATCCTACAACATACACTCGACAACACACGCACATCCTACACACTCACTTGTCAACACACACATCCTACTACAACATACACTCGTTAACACACGGCACACATCCTACAACATACACTGCGTGAAAACACACGCACACATCCCTACAACATACACTCGTGGAACACACGACACACATCCTACAACATACTTTCGACAACACACGCCACACATCCTACAGCACTCACTTGTCAGCACATGCCACACATCCTACAACATACACTATAACACACGCACACATCCTACAACATACACTCTGTCACACACACGGCACATCCTACAACATACACTTTCGGAACACACGACGCCACACATCCTACAACATACACTCGACAACACATACACATCCTACAGCACTCACTTGTCAACACACAACACACATCCTACAACATACACTCGTTAACACACACACATCCTACAACATACACTCGTGGAACACACGCACACATCCTACAACATACACTCGTGAACACACGCCACACATCCTACAACATACACTCGTTAACACACGACACACATCCTACAGCATACACTCGTCAACACACGCACACATCCTACAACATACACTCGTTAACACACGCACACATCCTACAACATACACTCCGTGAACACGCACACATCCTACAACATACACTGCGGAAACACACGACACACATCCTACAACATACACTACCGCAGCTTCGACAACACACGCCACACATCCTACAGCATACACTCGTCAACACATGCCACACATCCTACAACATACACTCGTTAACACACGACACACATCCTACAACATACACTCGTGAACACACGGCACACATCCTACAACATACACTCGTGAACACACGCCACACATCCTACAACATACACTCGTTAACACACGGCACACATCCTACAACATACACTCGTGAACACACACATCCTACAACATACACTCGTGAACACACGGCACACATCCTACAACATACACTCGTTAAGACACGGCACACATCCTACAGCATACACTCGTTAACACACGGCACACATCCTACAACATACACTCGTAAACACACGACACACATCCTACAGCATACACTCGTGAACACACGGCACACATCCTACAACATACACTCATGAACACACGGCACATCCTACAACATACACTTGTTAACACACGGCACACATCCTACAACATACACTCGTCAACACACGGCACACATCCTACAATATACGCCTTCGTTAACACACGGCACACATCCTACAACATACACTCGTGAACACACAGCACACATCCTACAACATACACTCATGAACACACGGCACACATCCTACAACATACACTTCAAGTTAACACACGGCACACATCCTACAACATACACTCGTGAACACACAGCACACATCCTACAACATACACTCATGAAGACACGGCACAGATCCTACAACATACACTCGTCAACACACGGCACGCATCCTACAACATACACTCGTTAACACACGGCACACATCCTACAACATACACTTTCGTGAACACACGGCACACATCCTACAACATACACTCCTCGTGAACACACGGCACACATCCATAACATACACTCGTGAACACACGGCACACATCCTACAACATACACTCGTGAACACACTTCATACATCCTACAACATACACTCGTGAACACACGGCACACATCCTATAACATACACTCGTGAACACACGGCACACATCCTACAACATACACTCATGAACACACGGCACACATCCTACAACATACACTTTCGTGAAACACCGCCACACATCCTACAACATACACTCGTGAACACACGGCACACATCCTACAACATACACTCATTAACACACGTGAACATACACTTCGTGCCACACATCATCCTACAACATACACTCGTGAACACACGGCACACATCCTATAACATACACTCGTGAGCACACGGCACACATCCTACAACATACACTCATGAACACGCACGGCACACATCCTACAACATACACTCGTGAACACACGGCACACATCCTATAACATACACTCGTTAACACACGACACACATCCTACAACATAAACTCGATAACACATGACACACATCCTACAGCATACACTCGACAACACACGCCACACATCCTACAACATACACTCGTTAAACACATGACACATCCTACAGCATACACTCGTTAACAGACGGCACACATCCTACAACATAAACTCGTTAACACACGGCACACATCCTACAACATACACTCGTTAACACACGGCACACATCCTACAACATACACTCGTTAACACACGGCACACATCCTACAACATACACTCGTTAACACACGAGACACATCCAACAACATAAACTCGATAACACATGACACACATCCTACAGCACACACTCGACAACACACGGCACACATCCTACAGCATACACTCGTTAACACATGACACACATCCTACCGCATACACTCGTTAATGCGAAATATGCAGTGTGTATTCCTATAACTTTATGGATATAATACCCAGTCCTCAGTAGTAATAGTAATATACTGACAACAGCACCTAAGATCTTAGTTGAAGAAAAAATTGAACAAACTTTACGTTTTGGTTGAGCTTGAATTTCTTGAAACTCAGCGCCTGTTGGCAGTTCAACACATATCCAGTCGACACAGTCGCTCCTGATGACGCTCCCAAGAGTGTAGCAAGTGTCCCCCACGCTGCATGCTGGAAATAGAGTGACTGAGTGAGTGAATAATGTTTTACGCTACAGTTAGAAAAGTCCAGGTGTATAACCAGGGCCAGATTCAAAGTTGAGAGGACTAAAGCTGAGAGATGTCGTTACAGATTCAATCATGACATGTCACAGACTCAATCCAGAGATGTCACAGACTCAATCCAGATATGTCACAGACTCAATCCAGACATGTCATAGACTCAATCCAGACCTGTCATAGACTCAATCCAGGCATGCAGAAGTCTCCGCAGTGAATACCATATTGACAGGCGCTATACATAATATCGTTCTTAACTATAAATTTAAAAAATGTCTGATGACTAGCAATGATGACCATTTCTTATATACAGTGTACTGGTGATCTGCTGCATATGCGTTGGGACATCTTTATAATAGAAATAGACTGTGGTTGTATTCTAATGAAAGCCGGGATTTCTGATTTTATCTTCGCATTGGATAAGCGAATAAATGCTGTGTTATAAAAAAGCATGCATAACAGTTAGGAAAACATACTGTTACTTACACCTGAAGGAAGAAAGAAATTCATCAGATAGTTGAAGAATGGGAAAGAAATTCATGATAGTTGAGCAGGATATGGGAAAGAAGTAATCAGATGGCTGAGAAGAGAATGTGAGAAGAAATTCATCAGAGCAATTACATGAAAGGAGTAAGAAAAGCATAAAAAGACGAGTGGAAAGCATAGTGGGTAATAGTTGTAGAAGGGATGAATAGGATTTGGGTGCTACACAAAAATACTGTATCTCCGCTCTCACTATCAACTTCCTAGTTGGCATTAGTATACGGTTTCTTCTATAAACGATCAGAAAAAAACAAGGAAACAGCTATTTATAGGTGTGGTTAGATAGATTTTCCGTCCGCAACGAAACTGACATTCGGGAATATCTTCACAACATACAGTGCATTAACTTCATACCACCCACACTCATCCTACAGCATACACTCACAAGGATTACCTACACACATCCTCACAAGATACACTCTACCTACACACACACGCATCCCTGCACAACATACACTTCGCTAACACACGCATCTTGTATATACACTCCAGAACATACACGCCACATCTGCACAAAGATATACCAACACACGACACACATCTCTACAAATATACACTCAATAACACACATCTTAAGCAAATATATACTGGACAACACACGCATAATAATATCCTACAGTATACACTGCCAACACACACATCCTACAACATACACTCGATAACACTCGACACACATCCTACAACATACACTCACAACACACACATTACACATCCTACAACATACACTGCGCTAACACATAACACACATCCTACAACATACACTGACAACACACATCCACACACACCTACAACATACATGGAACACACTAATAACACATCCTAGGTAGCATACAATTTCGTCAACACACATCCTACAACATACACTGACAACAACATTACACATCCTACAACATACACAAACTTCAGTCACGCACACATCACAACACACATACTTTCTCACAACGCCACACATCCTACAACATACACTTGTCAACACACGCCACACATCCTACAACATACACTCGTATCACACTGGCACACATCCTACAACATACACGTTAGACACACACATCAGCGTACACACGCCACACATCCTACAACATACACTCATTACAAATCCTACAGCATACACACATCACACACATCCTATACACATACACTCATGAACACACGCCATAACATCCTACAACATACACTCGTGGAACACACCACAACATCCTACAACATACACTTTCGTTAACATACGGGTACACATCCTACAACATACACTCATTAAGACCATATCATTATCCTAATCATACACTCAGGAACACACTGCACACATCTCTACAACATACACTCAAGAACACATCGCGCACACATCTACAACATACACTGCGTGAATACATGCACACCTACAGCATACACTTTCGTGAACACACTGCACACATCCTACAACATACACTCGTGGAACACACGGCACACATCAACAACATACACTTCGTGAACACACGGTGCACATCCTACAACATACGCTTCGTGAACACACGCACACATCCTACAACATACACTTTCGTGGAACACACATCCATACAATATCCCATCATACACTCGTGGAACACACGTGCACAACATCGCTCGACATACACACCGTGGAACACACGCCACACATCCTACAACGTGAATACGCACACACATCCTACAACATACACTTCGTGAACACACGCACACATCCTACAACATACACTCGTTAACACCACGGCACACATCCTACAACATAACATACACGGCACACATCCTACAACATACACGGCACACATCCTACAACATACACTGTGGAACACACGGCACACATCCTACGTCAGCATACACTCGTTAACGACACGCACACATCCTACAACATACATTTCATAACACATGACACACATCCTACAACATACACTGCCGGAACACACGCACACATCCTACAACATACACTGGTGGACACACACGGCTCACACACATCCTACACAACATACACTTCGTGAACACACGGCGCACATCCTACAACATACACTGCGGAACACACGTACACATCCCTACACAACATAAACACACCACACATCCTACCGTTAACTCGCGGCACATGCCACATACACTGACCTTACACACACATCCCACCACAACATACACTCGTGAACACACGCACACATCCTACAACATACACTCGTGAACACACGCACACATCCTACATACTCGTTAAGACATACACAGCCCACAGCATACACGCACAACACACACACATCCTACAACATACACTACGCGTGAACACGGCACACATCCTACAACATACACTCGCATAAGACACGCACACATCCTATAGCATACACTCGTGAACACACGCCACACATCCTACAATATACACTGCAAACACACAACACACATCCTACAGCATACACTCGTGAACACACGGCACACATCCTACAACATACACTCATGAACACACGGCACATCCTACAACATACACTTGTTAACACACGGCGCACATCCTACAACATACACTCGTCAACACACGGCACACATCCTACAACATACACTCGTGAACACACAGCACACATCCTACAACATACACTCATGAAGACACGGCACAGATCCTACAACATACACTCGTCAACACACGGCACGCATCCTACAACATACACTCGTTAACACACGGCACACATCCTACAACATACACTCGTGAACACACGGCACACATCCTACAACATACACTCGTGAACACACGGCACACATCCTACAACATACACTCGTGAACACACTTCATACATCCTACAACATACACTCGTGAACACACGGCACACATCCTACAACATACACTCGTGAACACACGGCACACATCCTACAACATACACTCATGAACACACGGCACACATCCTACAACATACACTCATGAACACACGCCACACATCCTACAACATACACTCGTGAACACACGGCACACATCCTACAACATACACTCGTGAACACACTTCATACATCCTACAACATACACTCGTGAAGACACGGCACACATCCTATAACATACACTCGTGAACGTCGGCACACATCCTACAACATACACTCATGAACACACGGCACACATCCTACAACATACACTCGTGAACACACGGCACACATCCTATAACATACACTCGTTAACACACGACACACATCCTACAACATAAACTCGATAACACATGACACACATCCTACAGCATACACTCGACAACACACGCCACACATCCTACAACATACACTCGTTAACAGACGACACACATCCTACAACATAAACTCGATAACACACGGCACACATCCTACAATATACACTCGTTAACAGACGGCACACATCCCACAACATACACTGGTTAACACACGGCACACATCCTACAACATACACTCGTTAACACACGAGACACATCCAACAACATAAACTCGATAACACATGACACACATCCTACAGCACACACTCGACAACACACGCCACACATCCTACACTCGTTAACACACGCCACACATCCTACACTCGACAACACACGCCACACATCCTACACTCGACAACACACGCCACACATCCTACAGCATACACTCGTTAACACATGACACACATCCTACCGCATACACTCGTTAATGCGAAATATGCAGTGTGTACCCTATAACTTTATGGATATAATACCCAGTCCTCAGTAGTAATAGTAATATACTGACAACAGCACCTAAGATCTTAGTTGAAGAAAAAATTGAACAAACTTTACGTTTTGGTTGAGCTTGAATTTCTTGAAACTCAGCGCCTGTTGGCAGTTCAACACATATCCAGTCGACACAGTCGCTCCTGATGACGCTCCCAAGAGTGTAGCAAGTGTCCCCCACGCTGCATGCTGGAAATAGAGTGACTGAGTGAGTGAATAATGTTTTACGCTACAGTTAGAAAAGTCCAGGTGTATAACCAGGCCAGCCAGCGGACTAAAGCTGAGAGACAATTCAATCATGACATGTCACAGACTCAATCCAGAGATGTCACAGACTCAATCCAGATATGTCACAGACTCAATCCAGACATGTCATAGACTCAATCCAGACCTGCCATAGACTCAATCCAGATATGTCACAGACTCAATCCAGACATGTCATAGACTCAATCCAGACCTGCCATAGACTCAATCCAGATATGTCACAGACTCAATCCAGACATGTCATAGACTCAATCCAGACCTGCCATAGACTCAATCCAGGCATGCAGAAGTCTCCGCAGTGAATACCATATTGACAGACGCTATACATAATATCGTTCTTAACTATAAATTTAAAAAATGTCTGATGACTAGCAATGATGACCATTTCTTATATACTGGTGATCTGCTGCATATGCGTTGGGACATCTTTATAATAGAAATAGACTGTGGTTGTATTCTAATGAAAGCCGGG